CCCTGCTCACCCTTCATCTAGCTTATGTCATAACAAGATAAATCCGTTTTTAACGAATACACGAATAATACAAAAAATATATTACGAATAATCCTTTGCACAAATGTTAAATGTTAAATATAAAATGATTAAATAACAAATATTCAATAGGATATCGTTATTATTAAAATATCGAATTATAAAAGATTCATAATAAATTATTTCCACAATCAAAGGAAAAATTCATCGAAATCTTTCATTGCGTTGATAATATTTCATTAAATTCTGTATACATTTTTTATTGCAATTATTAATATTGAAACTATTTAATATTTAACATTTTATCTTATATTTTAAATATGATTTATTTTGTAAACATAGAATTTTCGTTATATTCTGATATCAAGAATATCTCAATATAGAAATAATGAATAACAAATACATAAATAATAATTTACACATATATATTTTACATTTAAAAAAAAATAAATGTTGTTTTTTTTTTTTTATATTTTTACATGTAAAAAAATATTTATATTTAACTGTTTACTTCACACATACACAAAGTTATTATAAACTAACAGCCACCCACGCAACAAAAGCACCTCCTCACCCTCCCCCTTCCTCAACCTTCTTGTTCTTACGCACGTAACGAACGAGAAAACGTGATGACGTGCATGCAAAAGAGAGAGAGAGAGAGAGAGACTTGCATTGAAGATTCGCCGTGGGAGAGATAACGACCAGCGGAGCGAATGATTTTAACACCATCTTATCTACGTTATTCGCTCTCTTTCTCTCTCTCTCTCTCTCCCCCCTTCATCCCTTCCTATCTGATTTAACAATAGATCAGTGACATCTAAACAAAAATTATTATTAGAAATCGTAATTATTAATAAATTTATCTAAAAAGTAAATATTTATTATAATATTGCATGCATAATTTCATATGGAAATTACGATGTTAGAAATGTGTTAATTGTATATTCAATAACTGTATGTAGATATGTAAATTATTTTATTATTATTATTTTTTTTTTTTTAAATCGATTGATATTACAAAAACTGTTCCATAATACGATTATCTTTAGATTTTAATCGGTTAATATTAAAAAGATATTAAAAATCTTAACTACTACGATTATCTCTCGTATATTGATGATAATTAAAATACGTTCGAATATATTTATTTAGATTTTGTTCTCCTGTACTTTACCAACGTCGATCTGTTTTTCAAAAGATTAAGATAAAGAATTAAAAATAGATCGTTGAAATAATTTTAGATGGAAATTATTTTTTTTTTTTTTTGAAATATCTACAAACATATAAAATTAAAAGAAAAAGTATATAAGTATATCTGATCATTATACAAAAGCAACTTTCAAACTACTTTCATGTACTAATAGGTAATAAATTACGTAATATTTATTTCGACGTTTTAAATAAAAAGAATATATATATATATATACATAATGAAAGAGATGTTAAAAGATCGAATTGAGAGACCTTGAAGAAAACGGGACGAAAGGCGTCTCTCGTTAGATCGACGCTCCCAAGTAGCTTAAAGAGATCTCCACCTACGCACGATCGTGCACAAAATATGTCTCTCGTATGATACGGCCGACCGTGAACTCTCCTAAACATTCGATCGCTTTTATATGTATATTCGTACACATACATACATTACGTACGTAAGCATACATACTTCTACATTGATAGACACGGTATATTTTAAGTATATCGAGTAATGTTGTTACTGATGTTCCGACATATCTGCAGTTTCTCACGCTTTAATAAATAAAAAGAAAAATATCAAAATAAAATACAAATGTGAAAAAATATTGTTATAAAATAATATTGAAATAATAATAATAATAATAATAATAATAATAATAATAATAATAATAATAATAATAATAATTTGAATAAATTAACATAAATTAATTCATGCTCTTTCCCCTTAATTGTAATTTTTTGTTTCTTTTTTATTTCTTTCATTTTATTTTTCCTCTTTTTTTCTCCCCTCCTCACTCTCTCTCTCTCTCTCTCTCTCTCTCGCTCTCTCTCTCCCGACTTTTCTATTTTATCGACAAAACGCGTATAACTTTTCTTGGAAAGAGTGGGCGGCCGAGATAGACCAACTAGGCAGTATGTTATATCCCTCGACACGAGGGTTGAATATGATTTATTGATTAAAGTTTTTATATATACACCGAGCTTATTCTTTCTACGTGGAACGAGCTTCGATGACGCTTTCTCTCTCACTCTCTCTCACTCTCTATTTTTTTTCTTTATTTTTTTCTTTCCTCTCTTTTAAAAATCGAACATTTATATCGATCAACATCTTCATCGTTTACGTTAATTCTCTTTCAATATTATACATAGAAAAAAAAAAAACACATGCACGTAATTAAATTAAATATTGAATTAAGTGAAATTAAATATATCGAGCAAAAGAATGAAAATTAATTATAAATGAGATACGAGTGAAAAAAAAAAATAATAATAAGAAAAATAACACGAGAGAGATAACCCAATGAATTTTTCATTCTTTATTCTATCGTTCTAGCTTACGTCACGATCTACAAAATATTCTTGGTATACATAGATCAGAACTAATGAATGAATAGTCAGAAAAAATTCTAGATGACGGATAAAAGGTGGGGAAAAAAAAAGAAGAAGAAGAAAACAAAAACAATGATAATAGATGCGCGCCACACAATTTTAAAATTTTGACGAATTGAATGCGTGCGCAAGCAACATTACATATCGCTGTTAACAAATTCGTAATTCCTAATATTACATGTATTTCATAACTTTACGAAATTACACAACTTTCCACGTTTATAATTTTATATACGTGTGTGCAAAGATAAAAAAAACTTAACCGATAAAAAACGTTATACTCTAATTGTACGTACACACTTACAGGGTGACTATTAAAAAATTGTTATTTAATATGCAGTATGACTATTCAAATAAATCGTTGAAAAATATATAAAATTATAACAATATGAGATATTAATAATATCTTAATAAATTTTGTACATCATTTAAATAACTATAAAAATAAAGTAATAATAGATACTCAATTAATATACAATTAAATATCAAAAATGGATCCAAAGTTAGTAGATGATTTTAAAATGCAATTATTCATTACTCTCTTTTTTAAATTGTTAAACTACAAAAAAGAAAAAAAACCTTTAACTCATCCCGTTTATATTAATAATCCATAAATGAGTTTTTCAACGAGGTACCCAATATACACGTACATGTTCCTCTATGTATTTTAAACAAAATAAATAATAAAATATATGTTACATTATGATCACATGATTGGAACAGCAGACAAACAAACAAACAAAATAAAGAGAAGAAAAAGAAGTGTATGCGGTAAACACGTAAGTGATCACGATTCTGTACGAAATAAAATAAGCACGTTCTTTTTGTCTAGACGATTCGCGAGACACATTGAGAGAGGTAATAAGAGAAAGAAAAAGAAAGAGAAATAGAAAGAGAAAAAGAAAGGGAAAAAGAGATAAACTTAGGCATCCTTCGTTCGTTCGTTCGTTCGTTCATTCGTTCGTTCGTTCGTTCGTTCCTTCGTTCGTTCGTTCGTTCGTTCGTACATTTCCTCGATGTTCACCGATCGGTTAGCGAATGGAGTTCTATTCTCGTCATGCTCCGCAAAGCAAGAAAGTCGGTAAGCAAGTTGAATTGCTTGCCGTCGGAAGAACGTCAATTATCGTTTGATCGTACAAACATACGTACATACATATATATATACACACTTTCATTCATTTAAAAGAACGACTATATAAATAATATATTTTAAATCAGGGTTTTCAAACTTTTCCACATGACAACCCTCTTTAACCGAGCAAATATTTGTCACGACCTTTGATACAAAATCCTACACTATCTTCTCTTTTACTATCATAAACTCACCGACATAGTACACATGCAGAATTACTACATTGAATTTAGAATTAATTTTCAGTCGTTACCCGCGTCTAGAAATATTTTACTTTCATTTGAATACCTGTGTAACTCTTATATTTAGTTACGTGAAGCTCTATATATTTGATAGCCAATAAGTCTATGTGATTTTTTTCAATTAAATAACTAAGATACAAACTGCACAGAGTTACTGACCAACCTTATTGACCATTTTTATGAATGAACAATTCAAAGTCTTATATTATGACATTCGTTAGTCTCTCGTTTTTATCTCATATCTTCGATCGTCAAATGTTTGTACTATATCTACTGTATTGGACATTTAAAATCTACAAAGAAAGATAAAAAAAAAGAGAGAGAAAGTTATTTAAATCTAACGTTACTCGATGTAAGAAACATACCCTCTCGCAATACTCTTTTTTACTACTACTACACTACTACACTACTACACTACTACACTACTACTACTACTACTATTACTACTCTTACTAAGATCGCGCGAGTACCTTCATTTATTGTACTTTTTCTCTCTTTTCTCTCTCTCTCTTGGCACAACGCGCAACACATACGCGCACTACAAGAAAAAGAAAGAGAAAGAGATAGCAAATATGTGAAATCTCTCGAGCTTTTACGTATGCATGAGAGAGTTACATGATACATATATATATATAAAAAAATACATACATATATATATATATATACACAGAGAGAGAGAGAGAGAGAGAGAGAGAGAGAGAAAAGGGGAGAAGAATAAATAAAAACGTGTTATAGCGTGTAGTATGTATATAAAACAGTATCGCGCACACGCAGTGAAAAGAGGGATAATATACGGACAGCAGCATCCCGTATAACGCATACTGGCAATGATAAAAGAAGACAGAGACAGTCAGACACACAGTAAAAGAGAGAGAGGAAGATAAAAGAAAACTAGACAGACAGAGACACGCGTTGAGATAAAGAGATAAATACAGATAGGAAGATAATCAGACAGATATTTAGATAAATAAATAGAGATGATTAAAAATGTATAGATTAATAATATTAACATTTGATATGCTTACCTCGGTATAGTGATGCACTTGGTATTGCAGCTTTGCGTGGTAATGGCCTTCTCGAGTTCGTCAAGACCCGCCGACTTCTTCAACTTCTTAACGAGACTCTTGACGGCCTTCTCGCTCCATTTGTCCTCGCCCTCGGCCTTCTTCCAGCCTAGCAGCCGCTTCACAATAGGCGGGTTGAAGCTGAGCAACATCGAAGTCGTCATTTGCGCTCGTTACGTGCGCGAGACACCCCGCCGCATCGGGGATTCCGTTCTCTAGCTCTTTAGCTCTCGCTCTCTCTCTCTCTCTCACACACACTCTCCCTAGGTCTCTCTTTTCTTCTTTCTTTCTTTCTCTCTCTCTCTCTCTCTCTGTCTTTCCCTTCCTTCTTCCTATCTATCTAACTCTTTCTATCCCTTTCCCTATTCACTATTTTTCTCTTCTTTTTCTTCTTCTTTTTCTATGTATCTATTTCTCTCTCTTTCTTTTTTTTTTTGATCGTTTTTAAATTTCGTTATGCAAAAATAAAAATAAAAAAAAGCAAACTTTTCTTCTCTCGCACGATCAGTCGATTGTTCAAAACACGCGAACTATTATCCCGCACTTACAATAATACATGCGTACGTTCGCGAACTAAATAGGTCACCCGCGAGGTTAGGGCGAAACAATGACGACACGCGAAAACTCTTTAACGCGGATGAAATAAAATACGAACGACGCGACAGCCTCGCGCGAGCGGCGAAACTTTCTCACAGCCGCCATGTCATTCCACGGGAACACTCTCGGATCAACTCGGTTGCTTTCGGATCATTCCGTCAACTCACATGGAGATTCACATTAAACGACATCTAGAGTATTATTAACTAACTAAGTTAGGTATTTTTGTCGTCTCATTTACGATCGTACTTGACATCAGCGATTCCCGAGGGAATATTACTTTTGTGAACTTTGCCACGTAGAACCAGTGGTTCTCGAACTATACTTAATAATAGTATTTATAAAATATTACAAAATTTTAATTAATTGTATTATTTTTATTTTCTCAAATTGGAATATATATATATATATATATATATATATATATATATATATATATATATATGTATAATCCACTCGTAAGACGTATTTTTGAACAACGCTTACTACTATCATATTATCTTCAAAAGCTCGTTTATTTTTTTATATCATTTGATAATTAATTCATATTAAGTTCTTTGTTGAAAATAACATTTTATTTGCAATACAGTTTCATTAGCTGAAGAAATTTTCAGCTGTTTTCTTATTTTTTCGATTTTTATTTTAGATTCTACATATTTTTTATTTCTACAGAAAAAATCGATTAAATGTGTAAAACAAATATTTTTGGAAAGTTTTTTAAAAAGTTTTTTCTTTCAAGGGCGCTATTTCAAGGTTGCTTAAGATTTCTCTAAAAAGGTTAAAGGAGAAATATTACAAGCTTGCTCATTGGCTAGCGCTTGAGAACTCGCCGTTAGGAAGTCTTTTCAAGCTCGCTCATTGGCTAATACTCGGTATAACCTAAAGTGAAAGCGAATAAAGTTTGGGCACCCTTAATTATTAGTGGAGAAACAGCTACGAAAGTGTTCGGATCTATTTAAGTGTTCTGATATAAAATTTCTTTTCTGATTTTATTTTGTCTTATATATATGTGAAATATCTTTTTCACGATATTAATCTATTACAAAAATTAAGTTAACGTTTTATTATTGTTTTATTAATAGTTTAAACAACTAACTTACATCTTATTAATCGATTCAAAAGTTGACTAGTTGTCAAGAGTTATTTATAAATATTTGCATATTAATATAATATAATAAAATAAATTAATATAATAAAAAGAAGATACAATGGGTCGAGATGGTAAGTAAAATGATCAAAATAATTCACAAAATAATAAAATATAATCAACTTTATGAAAATGTTCATTGACTTATTGAAATTGATTTTTTGGTTATAGACGAAAATAGTAATTCAGAAGATGAAAGGGAACGATCTAGAAGTCCTTCACAGGACTCATCTGCTAGAGTTGAAAATGTGAATAGGAGTAGATCGAATACTCGAAGTCCAACTTCATCTCCAGCAAGGTAAATATTAATTATTATACTTTATTGTATACTACTCTTATTTATCTATACTGTTATACTCTTTATTTAACATAACCTTATATTCAATCTATTGCTTTATGTTTTACAGATCTAAGCCCTCTTCGCCGATGCAAGTAGCATCACCAGCATCGTCGACTTCTGCACGTTCCAATGCCAGTTCTAGAAAGTCATATTCTAGATCTCGTTCGGCTTCTAAAAGTCGTTCGCCTTCTCCAGCATCCAGTACTCGAAATCTGAGAGCTTCCAGATCTCGTTCAAAATCTTTTTCTGAAGAACGTGCGGATAGTGGTGAAAGGAAACAAATCCAGTCACCCAGTCCTGCACGCTCTGGAAAATCTTCTTCGAGATCCAGGAGTCCATCACCGAGTAAATCCAAAGAGGGTTCACGTTCACGTTCACCTTCACGTTCAAGGTCACGTTCTAGATCTAGATCTAGATCTAATTCAGCAAAACCAAGTAAAAGTGCTTCCTCAATGAATTCTCGGTCTCCATCAAGATCACCTTCACCCAGGGTAGCTTCTAGATCGCGTTCTCGTTCTGGATCAAGAAGATCACGTTCTGTGTCTCCTAATGCTAATCGTGCATCAAGATCAAGATCAAGATCAAAATCTCGTTCACAATCAGGCTCAAGAAAGGGTTCTTGCTCTCCTAAAGCTTCGTTGGAAAATTCTTTTTCTAGTGTTAGAAAATCACGGTCAAAGTCACGTTCCACTGAAAGTTTAAAGAAACATTCTCCTTCGTCAAGAAAAAGTTCACACTCAAGATCACCATCGCATTCAGGAGATGAAAAAGCTAAATCAAAGTCACGGTCTAGATCTAGATCTGGTTCTGGATCTCGAAAACAATCTCCTATGGCTTCGCATAAAGGATCATTATCAAGATCTCCTAGTCCAGAAAGAAAAGAATTGTCAAAGTCCAAATCTAGATCAAGATCAAGATCAAATTCAGGATCGAGGAAATCATCTCGATCAAGATCAAGGTCTGGGTCAAGGAAGGCATCTCGATCAAGATCAAGGTCCGGGTCAAGGAAGGCATCMCGATCAAGATCAAGATCCGGATCAAGGAAAGCATCTCGATCAAGATCAAGGTCCGGATCAAGGAAAGCATCTCGATCAAGATCAAGGTCCGGGTCAAGGAAAGTATCTCGATCAAGATCAAGGTCTGGATCAAGAAAAGCATCCCGATCAAGATCAGGTTCAGGATCAAGAAAAGCATCTCGATCAAGATCAGGATCAGGATCAAGAAAAGCATCCCGATCAAGGTCTAGGTCTGGTTCAAGAAAAGCATCTCGATCAAGATCAAGATCAGGATCAAGAAAAGCATCCCGATCAAGGTCGAGGTCTGGTTCAAGAAAATCTGTATCTAGATCCAAATCAAGATCAAGATCATTATCAGGATCAAGAAAAGGTTCCCCATCTGGAGCAGCATCAAGAAAAAATTCACGCTCTAAATCAAGATCTGTTTCTAGATCTAGCAGATCTAGATCACGTTCTGGATCAAGAAAATCTGGTTCACGATCACGATCAGGCTCAAGATCAAAATCACCATCAAGATCCCGTTCAAGATCGCATTCAGGTTCTCGATCAAAATCAAGGTCTAAGTCCAGATCACGGTCTGCTTCTGTTGCAAAATCTGGAGGCAGATCTCGTTCAAGGTCTGGATCGAGATCAAGATCGGCTTCAAAGTCTGGTAGATCAAGGAGTCCAAGCAAAGAGTCAGATAGTGGAGTAAAAAAGCGTAAAAGAATACTCTCTGATTCAGAAGATGAAAATGATGCTGCTCAAAGTTCGAAAAAAGTAACTCGTGAATTATCCGATAGTGAAGATGAAGAAAATGCGGATAAATCAGCTAAGAAAAAAGATGATGAGGAACCAAAAGAAGATGAAGATGAAAAGAAAGATGAAGAAGAAGTTAATGTCACAGAACAAGATAATGAAGAATCCGATGATGAAATAATTCCTGGAGAGAGAGGAATGTAAGTAGAGTTTCTTATTATTTTCCTTTTTCATTAAATTATATTAGAATTAACATTTTTTTTTTTTTTTTAATATATTAAATAAAATATTTAACTTTAATCGTTTTTGTTATTTCTATTTTTCAGAGATGATTCCATGTCTGATTTTGATAGAATGTTGGCACGCAAAAAAGAGGAACAATCACGTAGACGCAAACGTAAGGACATTGACATAATTAATGACAATGATGATATTATTGCTCAATTGTTAGCCGACATGAAAGGTGCTTGCGAAGAAGATAGAAAGTTAAATCAATCGAATAGACCAGCTACGAATAAAATTGCAATGTTACCTAAAGTATTATCCCAATTGAAAAAGCATGATTTGCAATTGGCATTTTTGGAGCATAATGTATTAGCAGTTTTAACAGATTGGCTCGCTCCAATGCCTGATCGATCATTACCCTCTTTAAGAATAAGAGACAGTCTTTTAAAACTTTTGTGGGAGGTAAGTTTAATACAATTGATAAAAATATTTAACATTTACAATGTTATAGTTTATGTATAAATATTAAGTTTTATTTTCTTTATTCTAGTTTCCAAGAATCGATCAGTCATCTTTGAAACAATCGGGCATTGGCAAAGCTGTAATGTATTTGTATAAACATCCTAAGGAAACTAAGGAAAATAAAGAACGTGCTGGAAAATTAATCAATGAATGGGCAAGACCTATATTTAATTTGTCTGCCGATTTTAAGGCCTTATCAAAGGAAGAAAGATTACAGCGTGATTTAGAGCAAAAACCTCATAAAAGAAGGAAAGTAGAAGAAGATGGATCCTCTCTTAAATCACAGGATATTAATAAAGCCTTGAAAGGAGACTCGAAGTATGATGGTTTCTTATCATGTACTAAAAAACACATTTACATGATATTAGTAATATTCCTTTCTGCAACTTTTCTCTTAGACCTTTGAGACCTGGAGATCCTGGATGGGTGGCACGAGCACGAGTTCCTAGACCATCTAACAAAGACTACGTTGTTCGTCCTGATTGGAAGTCAGATGTCGATATAAGTAGAGTAAGTATCTCTTATTAGTATAAGTTTATACAAAAATTAACTTTCATTGTCTTATTATTATGTATAAATTAATAAATATTTTTATAGAGCACCAAAAAGCAGATGAATCGATTTGAGAGGCATATGAAAAATTACATGGATAACAAAAAAATGAAATCGGCGAGAAGAGCTGTAGATATATCGATAGAGGGACGTAAAATGTCCTTGTAATAATGTACATATTAGGGAAATCATAAAAAAATTTGATTACATCGAAAATATATTGTAATACGTTAAATCTAGTTAGTCAGTTTTTGTTGAATTAACAAATTACGTACCGTACACACATATTATTGAATTTTGTTGTACTTCACGTAAAACCTATCTGCACATGTTTTACATGTTTTTATGCATTTCGTTAGAACTTTATGTTAACCCCATGTGTATATATTTGTGTGTTACTTTAAATAACGAAATGTCATTTATATGATGTCAGAAGGTTCTTGTTTCAAATTTCTAAACATTGAATTTTTCAGTTTTTGCAATTGTAGCGGTACGTAATAAATTAAGTGAATTTCTTTATGAAATGTGATCCTTATAATAAGACAAAATAACGTTATAATAATAATAACGTAATTAGAGTAAACATGTTCATTATTATTAATTAATATTAATTTGGCAGAAATTATAGAAATTTTATAATAAGACTAAGTAACAATGACAATGAACATTATTATTGTTATTATTATAGTAATAATGCAATTTACATTACAAAGAGAATATTAATATTAATTGATATTTTGAAAAAATAATAGGGTTTTCATTATGATAATAATAAGGAAAGATATTAATTTTTTTATATTATTATTATTACTATAGTAATTATAGTAATAATAATAATAATAACAATGCAATGTACATTGCACAATAAATATTAATACTAACACTAGTTAATATTTTGACAAGAATGATGATTAAGGTATCTGCAATTATTCGCATTTCCTTAATAATAGTTCGCAATTTAATTAATTTTGATTATGTAAATTAAATTTGTAAGCCGCTCAGTAACCAAATTAATTAATTCCATAAAAAAGAAAAGTATATAACATTTATGTGATAATATACATTTTGAAATGTTTTATTGATATCTTTTATATGGTTACATTTATTCAATAGCCGTAAAAATTTTTTTATTATTTAATTGTGCATAAATTTTTTATGACTGAAATTTATAAGAATTCTAAAAGTGGAGGCAATATTTTTCGTTAGTGAACGGCTCAAACATACAAATAATATTGTTTATTTTTGTTTTTGTAATACTATTATATATTTTACATAATGAATGAATAATAATTGCTTTTTAACACTTTGTTGACTCTTGTTAACTCGTGATGCGCTTTTTTCGCATCACGCTATTTAAAAGGAAAACTCAACGAAAATAAATATTACAATTGTAATAGATTTTTTTGTACTATTGTTATACTGTTTATCATACAAAGAAGAAATATTTAAAGTTTAGTAATAAGTAAAATTTATTAAAAATTACTTATATATTGTTTTACTTTTCAATTCAATTACGAAGTAATAACCGGTGACATGAGATAAATTCTTTCAAAAATAGCCAGTCAATAAAGTGTTAATTAAAAAATTGCAAAACAATATAGTTTTGGTAATTTTTAATAATTTATCAAGGAATGTTTTTTTTAATTGCAATTTATTTTTCATTCTATGTATATATATATATGTAATAGTTCAAATATATACAAATTTTTTAATTACACATTTTTCCCTTTTTTCTTTCTATATACCTAATTATACATTTACATTGCGTAATGAGATAATAAAAATAATGATGTAAATAATTAAAATTTCAAATGTCAGAATAGTTTCTATTTTCAACTGTAGGTGCGCTAGTAATTCTTTTAACATGGCTTCCCGCTTCTTTACTTTTGACGGTTTCTATTAACTAAACATAGTATCATATTTATTATATATAGATTTATTATTTAATTAATTAATTATAACTTAGGAAAAAAAATAGTTAACATATTTTTAATAAAAATGGGAAAAACATCGAAAGACAAACGTGATATTTATTATAGACGAGCAAAAGAAGAAGGTTGGAGAGCTCGCAGTGCATTCAAATTATTACAAATCGATACTGAATGTAATATTTTTGAAGGTAATGTATTTCAACATAACAAAACTATAAATTTATCTTCCAATCATTTTCTATTTTCTTATTTTTTTACATTTCTTATCACAGGTGTAAATAAGGCTGTTGATTTATGTGCAGCACCTGGCAGTTGGAGTCAAGTTTTGTATAAAAAATTAAAGTATATAAATATAAATATAATAAATAATACACACACATATATTTTTAAATTCTATATAATACAATACATATGAAATTTTAGTGAAAATTACGAAAAGGCATTGGAAAATGGTGAAGATATTACGCCTCCCAAAATTCTTGCTGTTGATTTACAAGCGATGGCACCGTTGAACGGTGTTATTCAAATTCAAGGAGACATTACAAATGTTAATACTGCCAAATGTATAATTGAACATTTTGATAACATGCAAGCTGATTTAGTTGTGTGCGATGGAGCACCTGATGGTACTTTCTCAGATTTCATTTTTATTAATGTTTTAAAATTATATAAATATTAATAATAAATAATTTTGTTTCTATATATTTTAGTTACTGGATTACATGATATGGATATTTACATTCAATCTCAACTTCTACTAGCAGCTTTAAATATAACTACTTATATATTAAGACCCGGAGGAACATTTGTAGCAAAGATTTTTAGAGCTAAAGATGTCTCCTTATTATATTCGCAATTAAAAATCTTTTTTCCTTACGTCTATTGTGCCAAACCAAGTAGCTCTAGAAATTCCAGTATAGAAGCTTTCGTAGTATGCAAAGATTATTCACCGCCTGAAGGATATAAACCTCACATGTTAAATCCTCTTCTTACGCATGAGAAATGTAACTTTGATTTATTGTTGGGAATTAACAGACTAATTGTACCATTTGTTGTATGTGGAGACTTAAATCAACCTGATTCTGATACCTCCTATTCGTTTACTGTAAGGAGTATAATAGTTAATAATTACAAAAATTATTTAATTGTATAATCGTTTAAATTAATGGATTTTGACATATTTACAGATCGGTGAAGAAAAAATTACACATTATGAAGCGGTGCAAAAACCAATTGGACCTCCATATTTAGAAGCACTTTCTTTAACTCGAAATAACAGCACTGATTTTAGAAAAGCAAACGTTAGTGTTGTTATCGATAGCAATCGCTTACTGTCTTTATCTGAATTCAAGGAACAAGCAAAGCAAAAACAAAAATGTATAAATGAAAAATTAAAAGAAGAAGAAAATATGGATAAAAATCGGGAAGAAGAAAAAGAAGTGGAAGAGAAGGAGGAAGTAGAAGAGAATGAAGAGGTTGAAGAGAAGGAGGAAGTAGAAGAGAATGAAGAGGTTGAAGAGAAGGAGGAAGTAGAAGAAAATGAGGAAGTTGAAGAAAATGAGGAAGTTGAAGAAAATGAGGAAGTTGAAGAGAAGGAGGAAGTAGAAGAGAATCAGGAGGTGGAAAAGAATCAGAAGGTTGAAGAGAAGGAGGAAGTAGAAGAGAATCAGGAGGTGGAAAAGAATCAGGAAGTAGAAGAGAATCAAGAGGTGGAAAAGAAAGAGGAGGTGGAAAAGAAAGAGGAGGTGGAAAAGAAAGAGGAGGTGGAAAGGAAAGAGGAGGTGGGAAAGAAAGAGGAGGTGGAAAAGAAAGAGGAGGTGGAAAAGAAAAAGGAGGTGGAAAAGGAAGAGGAGGTGAAAGAAGATGATGAGGTGTAAGAGGAAGTGAATAATACACTTTCTCTAAAGACATATCAATTAAATATATTCGGCGAAGATAATAACAGTTAAGAAAATAAATAAATTCTTTTAATCTACTAAACTAAATAAAAAATATTGTAATTAAATTAATTTATATATTAAACAAATAAACGTTCCTATTTATTCTATCTTACATAAGTTTATTTCTGTAAACAAATATTATTTTAAATTTACCGCATTATAAATTACATTGGCTTATCTTCCTGTGTGTTGTATGAGCTAAAGAAAAAAGAATATTAGTAAACATTGAGAAACTCGGAAAACAAATGTACTATTAACCTTGCGCATATAAATATCAAACCCGAGTAGAACTTGTCTATCTTTAGAAGAAATTGATCAGTATTAATATTTCAAGTTGTGTGACAATTATATTCAGATCAGATATTAAATAATTCTAGTTTAAAATTATTTAAAATATAAAATTAAGGAATTAAAGGATGAATTATTTAATTATCAACAAATATAATATTCCAAATTGTCTGTTACGCTATTGGACTATCCTTCGTATATCAAAATGCTTGCAAGTTAAGAAATAAGTAAAAATTTACTCTAGCAAACATTTAACGATTTTGTCTTCATGTCTTCTACTTTGGTAATTATCTTTAAAATTATAATGGAATAAGAAAAAAGAAAAATGTGTTATATTAATTTTCTCGCGCGTGTGTTGAAATTTTCCAGGTGAATAGAACTTGCAACATATGTAATAAATTATTTTGTTGTACGGAGTGTTGTAATAGGCATAAAAAAAATAAACATCCAAATCAAGAATTTTATTGTCCGTTGTGTCACGACGAAAAGTTTCCGTTGCATCAAAAATTAGATGAGAAATTACTAAATCATGTAATCATCAATCATCTTCCCTTGTATTGTTACTTGTGCGGTGATTGTTTCGAACAAAACAAGGATTTCGAATTATATGGTAATTTTTATTTTTTATTAGTAATAATTATTAAACGAATTAATAATCTACAACGTAATTTCGAATTTTCCAAGATTCCTGTAAATTTTGGTTTACAAAACGAGCTCAATTATCGATATCCGAAAGAAGATCTCTCTTGGCTACACCGGTCTCATGTTGTTTGGGAACAAAAAAGAAAGAACATTCAACAATCGATGGTGATTACAACAGTAATTTCGTTGAATCGTTAACATCACCACCACAACTTTATAGAACAACTAGTACACCGATGCACGTTGCTGTTACGAGTCAACAAACGAGCTTCGAATACAAAACACCACACTTACCGAATTTTTTATTAAAGACACCTAACATAAGTTCGGCGACATCAATTAAAAGTTACACATACTCCTCGGATTCTAAAATAAATGATTATTGTGAGGGTAAGTCTAGTAGATATTTGACTTGTTATACTAATTTGGATAAAACACCATTTCGATCTTTACCAAGTAATTTTGGTGTGGAAGAACAACAATTTATCACGAAAAACACACCAAAAGAATTGACTTTACCGGTTATGAAAGAAGGAGAAGAAAGTGAATATGTAACTGCTAAGAAAACCGAAATTTTGAACTATGAAATTGAAAAATCTAATGATAATATGGAATTAACAGAAGTTCAAGGTGGTCTATTATCAGAAATGAAAAATGTTGAAGTACGAATACACGAGGAAAGAAGATCAAATTCATTTAAAAAAGTACGATTTTCTGATCAATATGACATGAGCAGAGGTAGTACCGGTAGTACGAATATGACGGGAAACGATGAATATTATGAAGCACGACAGTCTTTATCACGATCGACTGTTAGGATGGAAGAAATACCCATGGAATCAGATAAAGAGAAACTGAATTTTTCTGTTACGAATAAAATGTCTGATAAAAATAAAAATGAATTAAACTCAGATGAGAAGAACAATAATATTGAACAAGAGAATCGATCGTACAACAGAACACGTAGCAACATATGCGTTACTCAAAAGACTTCTGGCTCTTCTCGTGTGGTGATGATGGTGATTGTCGAGGACAATTTGTCCGGTGAAACGTCAAACAATATCGGACCTCTTATCGAATCTGGCTTAAAGGAATTATCATCGATTTCCGATCTGGCTGAAAGTAAACTTTCTCAAACGACAAGTAGAAAATCGACCACCACGTTGATGGACAATAATAAAGAGAACAGTGACAACTATGAATACTATCCTGCATCAAATTCCGTATCGTCGTCGCACAATAGTAGCGTAGAAAGTTCCTTAAATAGAAAGAACGATTGTGCAGGTCTGTTTTCCAGTATGACGCATGCTGTTAAACAAGTTTTCAGAAGTTTTTCTGGTATGTTAATGAATTTTTTGAAAGCCCTATCCTATGGTATTTGTTTAATATTATTTTGAAATAAACGTTCGTTATATTTGGAGATCAAAATTGTTTTTTAAAAACCAATTGCATTATATAACATATATTATGAAATATATAATACATTTTGATATGATATAATATATTTAAAATATGTATATATATATATATTTATGTATATATATTTTCTATCCAATTATGTGTTGGTATAGGTGGAAATTTTTTAATGTCAACTTCGAACGCTCAAATGTTTCAAAATGACGAAATATCTTCATCATCGTCAACCGACAATTATCTACCAAGTTGTACTTCTTGTTCGTCAAATATTAATTCTCGTAAACGATCAAGAGATTTAAGGGAAAAATCCCCATCCTCGGATGTGATGACGAGAACCGATTCTACCATTTCACATGTGGATGATAGAAGTCCAATGCCGAAAAGACACCGTGGTTGGTATAAAATCAAAGGTCGAGAGCCCATTGCAAGAATGAAAAATCAATTGTCTTCTCCAAGAGGAATATCATCGGAGACACAAGTTTTTAGTCAAGGTTCATTGTCTGTTGGAAATACAGTTATACCGATTCCATCACGAGCACATCAATCTGTGCGATTCGATATTATATCTAACGATTAAAGAAAAATTGATCAAATGTTTCAAATAATATTAGTTCAAAGCAATACAATATTAGCTTATGTACGACAATTTTTATTTGTTGATTCATTATTATTAGATTTTAGTAAATTATATTTATTTTTCATTAATAACGTTATCTTTTGTTTATGTAGTTTTTTTTTTCTTTTCTCTTCCATTTTTTGCTTGTTTGTTAATTTCATTTTTGTGGTAATATAATATTTAAAAATATAAATATATGACAAGTTTGTTGTTTGATTAGTTTTCTTGTTTTTAAATAGATTTATTTATATAAAAATTTCATATTTCGCGGCAAAAGTTATGTTTTGTTTTGCGCATGCGCAATACAACGCTGTTATACGCAGACGCGTGCATGCATGCGTTTATTTAGTTCAGAATTGTAAGGTTATATTTCATAGTGTTTCGCATTGAAAAACATTGGAATTAATATTACGAAAAAGGTATTCACTTTTATTTTAATTTTATTTTTCTAGTATTTTCAGCAACAGTTTAAATTGAGGCTATTTTTTTAGAGTTGGAAAATAATATAAGGATGTCTTCCTGGAAAAAAGCAGCTAAATCAACCCAAAAAACGCATAGAGAACGACATCAACCCGAATCTCGTAAACATTTGGGTCTTCTCGAAAAAAAGAAAGATTATGTTGCCCGAGCTAAAGATCATCATAAGAAGGAGCGTACTTTAAAGTTATTGCAACAACGTGCACTCAATAGAAATCCAGATGAATTTTATTTCCACATGATCAATTCTAAGGTAGAGAAAGGTATTCACAGAGAAAAAGATAAGGATGATGAGCATACGCCTGAGCAAATTAAATTAATGGAGACTCAAGATATCAAATACATTGCATATAAGAGAAACATAGAAGCTAAAAAAGTTGAGAAGTTGCAGAGTCGATTACATTTATTAGATGCTGTTAATGAAACAAAAAACAGTCATACATTCTTTGTGGATAGTGATGAAGAAGAAAAAAATTTTGACATTGTTAAAAAGCTAAATACACACCCTGCATTATTGTCCAGACGTTCAAATAGACCTAATTTGGATAAATTAAAAGAGACCAGTTTTCCACAAGTCGATGAAAATACTCTTGCTAGTATCGAACAGCAGAAACGCATGGCTTATAAGGAATTAGATAAGAGAATTGAAAGAGAACGAGAGTTAACAGTAGTACAACAAAAATTAGAAATTCAGAGAGCTTTAGCTAGAGAGAAGGAAAGAAAACCGAAACAAGTTAAACCTGGGTCCAGATATTCTGCTCCAATCTATAAATGGAAGTTTGAAAGGAAGCGATAATGTGCCATTATACGTATAAGGTATGAACTTCTCTGCGAAAGACTAAAATTTAAGATATTAAATTATTTTAGTTTTTTCATTGTTCACATTATGCAATGTTTCATTTATGTTATTAGATTATTAAGATCATTGTAAGTTAATATTAATTAAATGAATATTTGTAATACAGTCATTCCTTTATTCAATGATTGTAACCCTGACCATTGACCTAATGTTATTAGTCTTGTTTCTTGATATTTATCCAGGAGCCATTCCCATCATTTGTCCTGAAGTCGTTCCCGGCATTGCTGGCATTTGTCCTGAAGTCATTGCTGGCATTTGTCCTGAAGTCATTGCTGGCATTGCTGGCATTTGTCCTGGAGTCATTGCTGGCATTTGTCCTGGAGTCATTCCTGACATCGCTGGCATTGCTGGCATTGCTGGCATTTGTCCTGAAGTCGTTCCTGACATCCCTGGCATTCCCATCATTTGTCCTGAAGTTGTTCCTGACATACCTGGCATTTGTCCTGTGGTCATTGCTGGCATTGCTGGCATTGCTGGCATTTCTGATGATTGTGTAGTAGTCATCATTGGCAACTCCGTTGATATGCTGACACAATTGTAAGTCAATTCCCATGATTTATATTTAGTAGTTATTTCAGTCCGAAGACAAGCAGTGATTGATCTAAAAGAAAATAGTTATTTATAAAGTAAAAATTATTGAATTATGATTTAAAAGAATATTATTTACCTGGGAAATTGATTCAATTCTAAAATGTTAGCGCAAACACTTGAAAATAAACTACCAGGTACTCGGCTGCATATTTTAAAAGGTTTATACTCTATTGATAAGATTAATTAAATATAGTAATTAAATTACACGTGGTTAAAAGGATACTTTATGAAAATCTTACCTGTAACAGTTCGATTAGTTAGGACTATTGTATTCAATGTGATATTTACATTCAATCCATTTGTTTCATAATTAAAATTTACACAAACTAAACAAAAATCAAATAAAATGAATCATTACAAAAATCATAGACGCATAGAGTATTTTTTTTTTTCTTGAACTTACGTTGTTTTCTCATTTTAGTGTAGATGATGATAACATTTTCACAGCAAGAACAGGAATAAGATGTTGGACATGTACATGATCTTCCACTTACTGAATTCGTTTTGAAAATCAAAAATGCTCTTGATGTAGGAAATCCTATATGATGCATTTGATTATTTAAATATACGTTCAACTTTTATTCTTTTTCTTCTTATAAATATAAATAATGAAAAAATGAAAATATAAAAGTAAATTTTCCAATGAACTAACTTTGCTTTTTATTTATATTAAATTCAGAAAAAATGCACAACAATATGATAATTATTTTACAAAGTCGTAAATGCATTTTTTTCACACAGGATTATAACCAATATTAAAAATATTCTACAAATAAAACAAACAGTTCGGAGAGTTAAACACGCGACTATGTTTCTATACTTTGAAAGATCTACCATAAAATAAACTGAATTCTCTGATTTTACATCTATTCGATACCTTTTCTACCGGATATAATAATTACTATGATGACCGATATAAAATGTTCATTGAATTTTAGAGGAAATCAACGTGTCTTTTTGTCACAATTATCTTTCATCTAACAATATTTTTATATAATTACAGTTCAACTGATTGTGAGCTTTATATTTCGTTTTCGTTACTTCAAAATAAAAAGTCCATGATTTTTGATCCAATTTTAAAATTGAAGAAAGGTAATTAAAGTACATATTAAAAATATTAAGAAGAAGAATACGATAAATATTTTTTCTTTTCTTTTTTTTTAAATGATACAATAAATTATTATTGTTAATCTATAAAGTATATAAATAACAAAATTTATTATTATAAATCTAATATATCATCATCATCATCATCATCATCATCATCATCGCTGTCATTATCGTCGTCATCATCATCGTTATCTTGGTCACTGTAATCATTATAATCACTGTCGTCGTCACCTGGAAGGATTTCGACTTGACCTAATCCACCCCCATCTTCCGGTTTTAGGTAAGCCAAACCATTTGAACCAAATCGGATGCAATCTAATCCAACCTGAATACGTGAACATAATTTTCATTTGTTATCATTTATGCATTTAAAGAATTATAATGAAACATTTTAATAAAAAGAATAATATTTTTTCTTATGTATATATATAAATATAAGTAAAATTAAAAAGTAGGATCATAAAAATGTCATACTTTGAACAATGTCGTATCTCTAAATTTGCCTTCCATGTTGACACAGAGATGAATGTTTCTACCTTGGAAAAAAATATTATAAAATCTCACGCAAGCTCTAATATACGGAATCCTTGGCACTGGTACACAAATTGGTCTAGGATTTTTTCCTAAAAAAAAAAACATAAAATGAAAATAATCAGAAAAATGACAAATTCACTGTTAAATTTAATATAAATTAAAAAATAAATTTACCAGAAATCGTTCTAGTGTAAAGAACCCTATCATTCATCATCACCTTTGCAGTAAAACTGAACTCATCTGGATCATAAGTTACGTTAACACATGCTTTTTGTTTCCACGCTGAGAAAAGTATTCTTGAACAACAACTACAAACACCTAAAGCACATTGACATGGTCCCTGTCTGGTTGCTGTTACTTCTGTAGAGTTTGCACTTGCGTTCACTGCTTGTCTTAACAAAGTTTCCAATTGTTTCAATGATTCCTCATTTTTTAGAATGATTTTTGTATTTTTGTCAATATCAACAATGTTCACATTAGATTCTGATAATGAAAATATCAGAAATAATAATATCGTTTGTACGATCAATATTCTTCGAATTTTCATTTTGATATCAAATCGAATTCACATTTTCTTCATTTGGAAATAGTAATACTTGTCTGTTAAACGATCGAAACACGACTGGTTAAGTTAACGGACTCGACATGTGTATTATGACCTCGTTTAATGGAGAAATTTAGGTTTACTTCGAGTGTTCACCCATATTTTGCATTTTCATGGTTCCTTGTGATGATGATTGTAAAATATCTAAACGTATGCATGCGTGTATATGTAAAAACGTGACACGAAGATTCAATTATAATACTAATAATTTATAGTACTGTCATTTAAAATGATTAAGTATTGAATTAAGGAAAAATAGATTCACACATAAATCTGACATTTTCAAAGCGTTGATCGTGATCTTGTATGAGGTCGTGTTATTAAAAAATTCTTGAATGTGCAAGGACATAAAATTAATTTGAAACCAGTTTATAGCAACACTATAAGTATATTACTTCGATGCTATTATAATAGCGAAAGAGAAGAAAATATTTTCTCGGGTGAAAGGGGGTCGCCAAGTACAAAAATTTTGGAAAGACCTTAATCGTTAATCATAAATTAAAAAATTATATATATTATATTTTAAAATAATAAATACTCATAATTTTACTTATACTACTGTACAAAATATTGTAATTAAATAATAATAATTTATAAAATTAGATCAATATTTTAATTGTCCAATCGCAGCTTCGTCTTCAGGACTAAGAGTTGTACCAACGTTGTTCGTAATTTCGAGATCGGATTGTTCGAAATTAACTTCATCATAAATTTCTGGTTCATTCGAATTAATCATTTGAAAATAATTAACTATACTTTCGTTTGGTTTTAACAAGGATATACCATCCGCACCGATTTTCATGCAATTGAAATGTAGAATTAAAATCGGTGCGTTGACAACGCGTGTTTCAAGATCCATACAAGCGTGAAGATTCTTGCCAGGTGTGTGAATGTCGTATAATCGAGCACAAAACGTTATCACAGGCACAAAAACCATTGGAATGCAAATTGGTGGAGGATTTTTTGCTGCGAAAAAGAAATCAGAATGAAATAACTTAGATTCATTTTGTCGTTGATCGTTCATTAAACTCACCAGTCAAGGAACTAGAAAAAATTTCTTTTTCGTTCATACTAAAAACCATTCTGATAGCAAATTCTAGAGGGTCGTAAACGAATTTGGTACATACACGTCGATCAAAATTAATTGCGGTTAAATTAACACCTGTACAACAATCACATGACAAATTGTTACATGAACAAGGCATTCCGCGAGAAACAAATTTCGGCATTTGATTTGGACTTCTTTCGGCTTCTTCCAGTTCACCTTTTAATTCTAATCCCGTTGTTGGATCGTAATAAGCTGACATGTACTCTGACAAATCTAAAAATACACTTTTTTTTTAAAATTATCATCCTATTTTAAAAATATATTTTACATGTTTAATATAATAAATTGATATTTTTCAATTGAAATCATGTTTGATTAATTTTTACTTCTGATGATTACTTAAAATAATTTTTAAATGTTATCTATTTACCTATATTTACGGGTTTTTTACTGTAGCTAATATTCACGATCGTTGAAATTAAAATTAATAAGGTAAATAATTGTCGAGTCATTTTTCTGTTGCTCGATTCACTCGCGAGCTAAGATGTTTCGTGTTTCGGTTTCAATTCAAGACTGAAATTAATTTTACCTTGGACCATACCACGAAGACATTGAATTCATTATTTATGCATAAACTTTCGATAGAAAGTTAAGCTTAAGGCGAGCTGTAAATTTGCTTTACCGTATTTATGATCTCGATACTTTCATCTCGATTCATTTTTTTTTTGTGGGCATGTATTTCTAAATATACGTGCTTCTCTGTGTCTTACATTTAATGCAGTTCTTTTTAATTATATTTTTTTAGTTACAAAAATAATTATAATAATTAATATGTTATTCATAAATTATTAATAATTAAATATCTCGTACAAAACAATTCGTGAAAAATATTAGGTTGTTTCAACATCTGTAAAACAATTTTTCATTTATATTTTGTGTACATGTGTAAGTCTTTTATTCGATATGTATGTCTAAGTACAAGTTTCAATAAGTTAATTAAATAAGAATTTGTATAAATAAATATACGATAATAAATAAAGATTTGTCTTAAATAATATCAAACTATGCGAGAGCATCGCATTATGGCAGAGGTCGTGAATGATATGATATCTCTCAATGAATTTTATCTTTGCTTAACCTACGAGAACGTAATTTTACCATAAATATCAAAATGAACAATTAAACTTTAGTCAAAAAAATAAAAATTATGAGTATAAATTTGATTAACCGAAATTGATTCTTTTTTTTAGAAAATTTCATATTAATTTTATGCCTAGGTTATTAAACATTTTATACGTCCCTGTCAAAAAGAATTATTCCAATTTTCGAAACATTTGTCATTATCGATAATTAGAGCTTAAAGTCGATCGAAATGATTTTTCTTTTTTTATTTTACAGCCTCATGATTCTACTTTGACGGCCATTTTGTTTTTTCCTTGCAAGAAAATCAGTGATACCAATTGAATAATCATCATCCTCTTCGGGATGACTCGATTGTTGTTGATTCGTCACAACTTTATTTTTCTTTCCTTTAGGTTTATGATCATCCTGAACGAGTGCACTTAAAACTGCATCTTCTTCCTCGTCATCGTCGTCATCCAAATCATCAAGATCCTCAGTTTTTTCATCCTCGTTTTCATCTTCATCTTCTTCATCTTCTTGTTCTTCGTGTTTATCAGTATCAGCATCATCCTCTTCATCTTCGTCATCTTCTAAATCATCATCGTCGTCATCGTCCAATTCATCAAGGTCATCATCATCATCGTCATCCAAAAGATCATCCTCGTCGTTTTCATCCTTGATCGGTTTTTTCAACGGCTTTTTTTTAATATCGTCATTGATGGCGTTTATACTTGTCGCAGTTATACTAGGTTTTTTATTTTGATTGCTACCAACTTTTTTAATTTTATGATTAATCAAAGGCTTTTCAAATTTGACCAATTTGTTTGTAATCTTCGTTTCTTCGTTTTGATTATTAACAGTTGGAGATTCGTTAGTCGCTAGATCTGTCAACGAATCAGAATTCTGCGTAAAACCTTCGATATTTTCGGTATTACTTTCGGTATTACTTTCTTCCTCAATGCTATTCAAATTTTGCGGATCATCAGCGTTTTGATTTTCATTCAAACTTTCTAAAATCAAAGCATCGTTTGGATTATTGGAAGATTCTTGGTTTAACAAAGTTGCAGGAGCTGCTGTTGTTGGTCTCGTTAAAATTGGTATAGTGAATTGTAGAAGTGGAGGTGCGGTAGAGACCTTGGGTTTTTTCGTAGAAGTTTCATCGTCACCCGTGATGATATCCAACAATGCTCCAAATCCAAGAACATCGTCATCGTCATCGTCCTCTTCTTCATCCTCAGCTGATCCAACGTTGGATGATGCACTGTCCGTTACAGCGTTCAAACTTGGTCTAACCGAGTCATCGTCGTCATCATCGTCATCATCGTCATCATCCGAACCTAAACCAAACAGATCGTCGTCGTCGTCTTCTTCAGAAGTTGGCTCAGATACAACGACTGGTAATGGCTCCGCTGGACGTAATTTTAATCCATCCGGACCGAATCTATAAGAAAAAAAACAAAAAAAAAAACAAACAAAAAAACACGGAAGATAAAATTCAGAAAAGTTGATTAAATAATAATATTAATAAAATATGTTATTTGTGTATTTTAATAAATCACCTAAAACAACTGACGCGTAAGCTGGCTTCCAATTCGGTTGCTGATTGAAGTTCCAATCCTAGGCAAGCTTTGAAATGATTGTTGACGTCTCTTTTGATGGAATAAATTCTTCCGCAAAATTTGCTGAAACCACCTGGTAGTGGTACGCAAACAGGTTTTGGATTTTTACCTATAAACAAGAAACAAAAAAGAAAATTATGTTAAAAAGGAAAACAATGATATGTGAATCGATCGATATTCTTCATACAAACTTATATACGACACATGAAAATATTTTATTTTATTTAGTCATAGGAATGCATCTGAACGAACGTATTACTTCCGATAATTATCCACCGTTTATGGTCACCCGGTGAAAGTCATGGTCACCTTAATATCTACGAGAATAATCAAAATATCGTATCCGTGTAATTAACACACTTCCTACGTTAACAACATCTACACCTGTCTCTGAAGATCATGGGCACACACGGCGTGTCTCTAATATGTTTATTAATTATAAAAGAAATTAGTTTTTCTTTCTTTTTTCTAGTTTTTTTTTATTTTTCTTGTCACGGAACGTTGCGTCAAGGATTAAGTTAACTCGTTACATGATAGACAGAACGTAAAGATTACCGATGCGTCCAGAGACAATGACTTCCTTCCTTATAGAAAATAAACGGCAATGGGTGATACGTGTTACCGTTAGTTCATAAATTTCATGTATTATAGTTTATATATGTAAGATTGTGAACACCTCTATTTGAAATAAAATAATCGATAGGGAGGAATTTAATCGAAGGATCTTGGATAGTTTATAGGTTAGAAAAATTGTTCATAAAACAGATGACCAAGATTCGAATTTGGTTCAGTCGATCAAATTTTTTTCACGAATCTTGTTTCATATTTATCAAATATTTACCGTTTACTATTGTTGAAGTAAGAATGTTGTCACCGAAACTCAATTGCACCGCTAAATTGTCATCTTGAAGATACTGTAAAGAAGCACATCCTAAAAACAGAATTACAATTGGTAAGTGAAAAATCATCAAGAGTTGAAAACACATGGACTGATTGGTAAATCTAATCGGATTTATTGTTTCACCTGGTCCTTTCAATTGCACCAACGGAATGTGAAAATCTCGACAACAGTTGCAAATGAGATTACTGCATGTACAATATCTGTTAACATTTTCAGTAGTTTCGGCTATCGTTGGTAATTGAACGGATTGTTTCGGAACATTATTGGCACGTATACTTCGATTCACTGCTACCAGGCCTGAATCTGTACACATAATCAAATTATATTGAAACTTTTTATACGTTGATCTCAACAATAAATTTATTATTATTTACTTACCGATTACTCTTCCATAAGCAGCAAATGCGATCACTAAAAGTATTAACAGCAGTTCCACCACTGATGACAGACGCATTTTTACGATTTATCTGCAAATCATATAAATTCAATTAATTTAATGAATTTATTTATGTTATAAAAAGGTGATTAATATTTGCATAGAGATTCTTAATAATTTTTAATTAATGAAAGTAGCTACCATTTATTGGATCAGTATTTTAAAACCCTGTTAAACAATTTGTTTTAATTATGAACGAATAGTTATTTAAAAAATGATCGTATTCTACGTTTCATAATATTCCAAAAAATAAAATAAAAAAATAGAGTCAAAAGGAAGAATTCTGTTGGAATAAACTGGTCTTTAAGAAATATTATTTACGACACACGCACAACGATAGTTTGAAGTTTCTTGTCCGCGACCGCTTGACCTAAATCTCGGTCACGGTCAAAGCAAAGTATCTTTCGTGTACATAAACTAAAAGAAGATGACGAATAACTCAATGATGAAGAGATAAAAGTTAACTCATCATACAACTACTGTGTCGAGTGCAAGGTAATCGTTCATTTCTATAACTTTATATGGTTGGTTTACTCATCTACCAAGAGCTAACATTTTAATATGCTTGCTGAGTACTTTAAAGAACCGTTTTGATTGATCGATCACGAACTGAAACTATTTGACGACTCAGAATATTTTTAAATATTTCTAAATAGGAAATGGCGAGTTAAAAGACGATCATTTTGCAACAGATACACGATCAGGAAACCAAAAACAAACTTAACATACAAGTATTTGAATCATTTTAATTTAAACAACAACGTTAATGACATAATCGAGTTTAATGATAGAAAAAAATAATCAAAGATTTTTATTGGAATTTATTTGAATGGATAAAAAAACAGATTGTTTTTAAGATATAACAATAAACTTACAATTAGAGAATGAACACGAAACAATAGATGACGTAATATTGTATTGAATAAGAAAATAACGAAATAATTATGTTAAGACTTACCTTTAATCCTTATTGAAAAAAAAAAAAAAATAAACGAAGCAAATCGTTGGCTAAAAAGATCGACGTACGATTCGATCGTATTGAAACGGCGAATTCCTCTTATAAAAAAAAAAAAAAAGAAATGCTTCTATCCTCTTTGCACCCTTTCGACTCGTTTTTCTTCGACTCTTAATCTTACGGAGGCCAATGTCCAACTGAAGATGCCGCCCAACTCCCCCCAAGGTTTCTTTAAAAGTCGGTCACAGACCACCACCACCATCACCACCACCTGCCTCGGCTGTGTTGCTGCTAGGATTATTAAACATTCTAATGTGTTCTAGGTAAATAAGACTCTTGGTAGATTCTAACCGTCTATAGAAATCCCCCCCCTCCCACTATTAAAAACACTGATAGTTCTCCAACTCGCCAGACTGTTTCAACGTCAACGACCATAAGAATATCGCATGAGGAAATCATTCTCTTTTTATGTTTCTTTTTCTTTCTTTCTTTCTTTTCTTCTCTTCTCTTCTCGTGTTGCCTTCGTACGAGTCACGGTCAAGAACGTGTTTGGATGAACTATGCTCGTTCAGTTTTCTCAATGAAGGTCTCTTACTTTCGAGTAATATGATTCAACGTTATATTTTTTTTTTTAAATTACTATCAGGAAGTTAAGATCATGATCTTTTATTTTATATTTTTATTCTGAATTTTGATTAGAAATATTAGTGTATTATTGTTGCAAGTATGAATAAGATTATTTGAGGACTTGTTTGAATGTATTAAAAAATAAATCAAATTATTAAATAAATATAGCAAATAAATGTTACCAAGTTTCCAAAAAGAATCTTGAATTACTTTTGTATCCAATTCAAGTTGTTTATGACATTTAATGCTTCAAGTTTAATTTAATTTAATTTAACTATCAATTAATAGTTGTTCAGTACAATTATCTGTTGCATTTATTTAACATTGATTAATACAATTTGTTTATTTCTTTTTCTTTTTTGATTTAAGATATTCCTAAGTTTGATAAAATATTTATTGATGTATTTATTTTGAAATCGTTTTTAAGTTATTCATATTCGAGATAATGAAAAACAGCAACTTATTTTCTATTTCTATTGACGACACAAATACCAATGTAGAGAGAGTCCCACTTTTCGATATCTCCTATCGCTATAAAATAATATCAATTGAAAAAAAGGCTAAGGAATAGCACAGCGAGTATGATGATCGTTGAACAGGTGTTCGCTTTTATATTCATCGAATGTGCTTAGGTACCTTTTATCCTGACGCAATTACGATAATGATATTTTTCTTTTGCCATGCAATAAAAGCTAACTAATTGTAAATGTATAATTTGTACACCTATTTACCTCGAAACCTGTTAAAAGATAATATTCAAACGTAAAGTGTATTCAAAAATTATTATATTATGATTTATTTTAAACATTTATTTTATAATTATCCTATAATTATATGTTTATAAAGGATACAATTTCTAGGTTTTTAGTTCTGCAATTTGAATAAAAAAGAGAAAAATTCTCCGAAAAAATATCAAAGAAGAGACTCTAATTGATATTTACGATCTGATAAAAAGTTAGTTCAAAAAAAAAAATATCAAAGAAGAGTAATCGATAATTAATATCGTGTAATTCTTGAACTAACCCATAGATTAATAACTTGGAACAAAAAAAATATTAATATGGTCTAGAAAATTTGAATTTAAATAACAGTGATTTAGTGAATTATTTTTAATGCGACTTGAAAATGATAAATAGATTGCAATTTGAAGTATACGATGGCAAGATGGCAAAACACGTTGGACGTCCTGCGGAAGGAACGTGTTGTACATATCGATGCAGTTAAATCGTAAAGAAAAGAGAGAGATGTTCGTATACTGAATAAATAACAACTTACACAGAGAAAAAAAATAAAAAAAGAAAGAGAGAGAGAGAGAGAGAGAGTAGGAAGGTAATCATAAACGTCGATCAAGATCACGGTTATCTTTTAATATCTTTGGTGTCATTGACCTCATCTTCAACAATTTCTCGTGTGTCCTAGGTAAAACATTAAAACGTAATCGAACCATCTTTTCAGCGAAGGATGATAATCGCGAAATTAATCAACAAAAAAAGACTCCCCCCTAAAAAAAGAACAAAAATAAATGTCAGTTAAAATGAGCAGAAGAAGAAGAAGAAGGAAGAATATGAAGAAGACAAAGATGATGGGTGAGGATTGAGAAGTTCGAGAAGGAATTTACAAACGAATCCATATGGAATGGTGTTTTAGGCCTTTCTCCGGTTAGTAGGTCGAAGAAAGTAGTGGTCGGTAGTGGTTTACCTTGGCTAATAATTGTTCGGCCATGGTTCGTACGATTCTTGCCTGTTAACCACTCGAAAACTGAGTGTCGTGTTGTCCCGAACGGTGTGTATTTTTAAAACAAGTCCTACCATCTCTCGAGGATTCTTTAATTAAACCATTCTACCAACTGTAAACCAACTGACAGTAATATCTGGGTCATTGTACCGAGAGAAACGAGTTTCGTGACGCAAGTTATTTCGAAGAAAATAATCGAAAGAAAAGAAAAGAAAAAAGAAAAGAAAAATAGAAAATACAGAAAAAAATACAAATTGTACATAAATTTTGCATCATATTTATTATCGCGGTTAGACGAGTTTTCTTTTGGTTACGATAACGAAAAAAAAAGAAAAGATAAAACAGTTTAAAGAGATTTAGAGATAGCAATACGTTTTTTTTTTAATGATGGAATTAACATGGCGAAAGTAAAATAATTCCGTTATAATTTCCGTTGGAATTGACGCCAACATAGTTCGTTCTTTCTTTCTTTATTTATTTCTTTCTCTCTATTTCTGGTCAAAGTAAAAGTAAATACTTTTAGTTCGATATTGTAATAAGATACCAAGAGGTACGAAGTAAAGAGTCCAGACCTCCTCCCTGTTGTTAATGTTCGAAGAACGGAAGGAGGTCACCCGGTCACCCAGATGAGATTCCTTGCCATCACGACCAATGGCGGGCCACTTCTACATCCTCCGAGTCCTCTCAACCAATCCTGTTAGCTTATTTTAACAGGAACCACTGTACGGTTGACTTGATCGTCAACCGGCATTGACCGTGTGTTTGCTTCCAGATTTAAACTACTTCCTTGCCGGGCAGGATCTCTTTCGGTCTCTGCCATCTTTTATTTCTTTCTTCTTTCTTCTCTCTCTCTCTCTCTCTCTCTCTCTCCCTTTTTTTTTATCTCTATCTCTCTTTCTCTACTCTCCAACAGAACGAAGCTTTATCCTTCGACGCTCGCTCACCAGCCAGTAGAGTCTCGCGTATCGCGCAAGCGTGCCGTTTCTTCTTCTTCTTCGTCGTCGTCGTTGTCATTGTTGTCATCGTTCACGTTTAAAATCAAAATTGGATTTCAAACGTCATTTTTAAATATTCCTATTATTCATTTATTTTTACCGGTTTTCAACAACATGGCCGTCAGGTTTACGATCTTCCTAATTTTCGTCAGCATCGCTGTTGTCTCATCAGCTGGATTGTTCGGTGAGAATCACGGCTCGGTTATTTGTTTTCTTCATTCTTCTTTTTTTATTGGCACGTATCGTGATGCCGTATAAGTGTTAAGAATATAAATAACTTTCCTAATTATAGTGTAACGTCACGTAATTCTTTGACGTGTTTTATTCAAACCTTTTTTGTTTATATTCTTAAAGTAATTCATGAAAGTATTTGATGATAGAAATTTTATGCTAATTGTATTATTATACTTATATTATTTATTTGATAGATTTTCTTTTTTCTTTTTTTTTAATTATTATTAAAAAAGTTCGAGAAAATTGTAAAAGTAAAGATTAGAATTTGTTTAAAATTCGATTTTTATACGTAAACATACACACACACTTATCTTTTCTTCCGTAGAGACATTGCTTTCTTGGGACCTGCCAGATTCTGAAGCTAGATCAACTCAAACTCAATCAAAGTGTCTCTGTCAGACTTCCGGTTGTCTCTGTTGCGTCGACCTGAATTTAACCGTGACAATGGACCTCGGTGGTCCGTCTTGCGTAAATATTAGGCAAAAGGAACAAAATGTAACCCTGAATTTAAGTTACGGTGACAATCCAGTGCATAATGCGACCATCAAGATAGGCAAGTATATTTGTAATAAATAATTCGGATTGTTTTTAATATAAAACGAAGGAATAATATAATTTATACTTTAAATAGCTGAGGCAGCTAACAAACCAACATGCATGAACCTTCTATCGGATTTGGCTCAAATTTGTGCAAGATTTACTTCCGTTAAATCGGCTGAACATGGTCACGACGGTTGTTTGGTGATCGAGCCAGCGTTATTGGGTACTCCTCAGGCTACTTATCAGATGGGTTGTTTTAATTTTGATCAGACAGTACGACAAATAGAAATGTCCGCGTAAGTAATAATATGAGAGACTTGGATTAATTTAAACATAATTACTTCGAATATCATTCTAACATTTAATCAGCGTTGCCGAAACAACTGAGAGTACGGACAACACGGATGAAGAGGAAGACGACGGCATCAATACGGACGAGTTGATAGCAGCTGTATCGGCTAGTGCTGAACACGGACTTGCTTTGTTTTCTCAATGGTTAGGATTAAATTTGAACCCAAGATTAAATTTCACTAACAGGAATCCATTCCATGAACAATCTCAACAACAGCAGCAGCAGCAACAACAACAACAACAACAACAACAACAGCTGCAGCAGCAGCAGCAACAACAACAACAATACCAACAATACCAACAATACCAACAATATCAACAACAGCAACAACAACGTCAAGTAGAAAGTGATAATCAGCAGACAAGATCTGCTCGGAATATGGTGGACATTCAAACCGAAAGAAGTGACGAACGATTCAAACAACTGCTGAGCGCGCAGGATAACGTATTAAAAGAATCCGCAAAAATTGGTCAAGCAAATGGTGCCCAAACGACATTTGTTTATTCCAGTCCAGTTGGTCTACCAGTTGGTTTACCAGTTGGTTTACCAGCAGAAAAAGTAATAGCAGATAAAAAAGGTGAAATCGAATCGATCGATGATTCCTTTCAACGTTTGACCGTACCAAAGGAATCCAGACGAGGTGGTAGAGCTTATAGCATTCATCAGCACGTCAACGAGATTTGAAGAAGTTTTCTCATTCAACCAAACAGGAGTCGTCAAAAGAGGGATAACCATGAGTAGAATTTGTTTTTCAAAAATCTAGCGCACTCTTCTCTTGTTGTCGTTCGTTTATCCGTTGTGCTATTTGCTCTTTGTTGGGCTGATCGATGGGAAACGAGTGGGTGATTCAATTATGTTAGTTCATTGTTTCTTTTTTCTATTCACGAGAAAAAAAGGAGAAATTCGATAAAAGAAAAAAAAAAATCACATGCCGATCTGAATCGAGCCAGGTCATTAGGAATAGATGTTAGATTATTGTTAGAAAGTAGGTGCACGAAATAATCAGTTTACACACTGTCTCTATCTTTTTCTTTCTCTGTGATCGTAAGCTGTTTTAATCTACGATCTCCCGGCAAAGTTACCGTCCGTGAAAGAATTTCTCTTAAACTCGATTAAAAGCCCCTCCCTCCCTCCCTCCCTTCCTCTCTCCTCACCTCGACGATCTCAAGAGATCATTATATTGTTAACCCTTTTTTTTTTTCTTTTCTTTTTGTTTTGTTTCGCTTTTTCTACAAGTGTCACGCGTTTAATACGCTGTGCCGGCCAGCTCAGTCGGTATGATCTCTCTTTTTCAATTGTGATCCCGCTATTTCTCTTTTTGCTTTCGCATTTGAAATCGTTACTACTAACGGTTTCATCGATCTTACATATATGCATATATATATATATATATAAACACATATACACGTACATGCACTCAAATATACACACGTATGACAACTAAACGCGTGAAAAGTGTCCCTCAAGTGAAACGTGACGATAAAACTACTTTCTTTTTCGACTTTATGCATACAAATATAATACATGCAAACGTACCATTCGCAGCATATATGCACGTGTACATGCATCATACACATACGTGCATACATTTATACATACAAAAGGAACACGTGATATGACTTGGGGAATACTCGAATAGGTTCATCGTTCTTTCTTACTCTCTTTCTCTCAACCACTCACACACACATACACATACACACTAATAGTGCATTTCTATTTTTCTTTTTTTTTTTTTATTATGAATAATTTATTTTCTGATTTTTTTTCATTTTTTATTTTTTGACACCGTTCGTTAAGTAGAAAATACAGTATAACATTTTGTCGTACTCGCTTTGAGTTCCTTACTCTTCGTTTTCTTTTTGTCTTCTGTTCTTTTTCTTTTTTTTTTTTTTTTTTAAACATTCATACATAATAGATCAGATAGAATAATTATGTTAATGTATATTTTTATTTCTGTCACACACAAAAGTAATATTTTCTTCCGTTTTTGTCGCACTGTAAAAATAAGTCAAACGTGGGATATGTGAAAGTAAATAAAAAAATTTATGAAATATATATATATATATATATACACACATATATGTATATATATATAAAGGCTTTCTTGTTTGATTAATTATTATTATTATTATTATTATTATTATTATTATTATTATTATTATTATTAATATTATTATTATTAATATTATTATTATTATCATCTGTATAGATGAAAGAACGATCGAACGACAATTTGTATTCTAGGAGGATCGTCTTGTTTTCATCTTTGTTTTTCTTTTTCTATGTGTGTTTTTTACGTTTTCGGAAGACAATGACATCGACCATCATTTTCTAGCCTTTTGTGTTAATCGTCATCTATAAATAGGGAAGAAATAAAAGGTAGGATGAATCATTATTGTACATATTGCTAAAGAAAAAAAAAAAACGAAACAACCTTATTATAGTTATTACATACTAATTATTAAATTCCCCATAATCCGAATAACAAAGCTTACGAGATGATTTTCACGAAGAAAATTTTTTGTGTAGCTTCATTTTTGTTGATCGTAAAAAAAAAAAATGAAGTCTTTCAATCGGTGACACTTTAAATTCTATGAACGATATTCGATCGATTATGCGATTACATCATCTAAGAGAATGTATATGTATGTGTATAAGAAATATATAATAATTATTATTATATTTATTTATATATGTCACCATTTAGAGATATATATTTGGTAATTGGATCGTTTATTATGAAAATGGTATAAGTTCATTTTTTAAAACCAAAAAAAAAAAAAAAAAGAAAAACAAAATTGAGAATACATAATGTTGATGTTTTATTTAAATGAAAATTATTTTTTCTCAATTCTTGTTTTAACGTTGAAAAGGATTTTTATACAATTTTTATAATAAACGTTCACAATTATATAAATGTATGTTTTGTTTTTCTTTTCATTTTTTGTTCTTCTTAAATCGTAATTTTTGCATATTTATATTTATTTATATAATATATGAATATAAAAAAGAAGAGATTTCGAAAAAGATATAATTACAAGTCGACTAGATACTAACAATATTTCGTTTTAAAATAAACGTGTCTCGCGTTCGTTTCCTTTAAAATATATTTCATATATATTATATATATATATATTCATATACAAAGGTGTTTCAAAATATGTGAACATAATTTTAGAAATGGTTTCAGTATTATAATATAGGGAACAACTCATTACAGTAACTCATATAACTTTTCTGATTATTTGTTTCAAATATTTACAAGTAAGATTTTTATTTTATTTTATTTAATAAAAAGATTTACGATAAGATGATTAGAATAAAATGATTAGATAATTTGAAATGAAAAATTGTTATTACAAATTCTATAAAAATTATGCAACAACGTGTGTAATACAATTTTAAAAACAAAATCGTATTGAATTCGTATGATTTTATGAACTTTTTCAATTTTATTTCAGTTTACTGAAATAAAACCATCTTTGAAGTTTTCATATATGTCACGTTCATGTATTTTGAAACACCCTGTATAAAGATATTTATTTTTTGTTTTTTCTTTACGTTCTTTTTCCATTCTTTTCCTTCTTCTATATACGCTATTTTCTTCTCTTTGTTTTTTTCTTTTTTTTTTTTTTTCATTTATTTTTCATTAGTAATAAAAATATTTTTTGGGTTTAATCTTTGGGCGATCTTTGCATAATCTACCGTTAGAAAATAAATTCCATAGAATTATTATTGCATATATATTTTTAAATACGTCTATGAACGCGTATGAGTTTACTTTGAAGCGTTTTTTTTTTTTACTTTTACTTTTTCTTTTTTTTTTTTCATTGATGATATTTTTTTTTCTCAAATTTTTCCAACGTGCATGTGCAAGAATTTGACATATATCAATTTTTTATTTTTTTTTTTTTTAATTCTAATGTTTAAAATATTTTTATAACATGTTCATAATTTTTCATTTGTACAAAATATAAAAAAAAAAAAAAATATAAAAGAAATCCAACTAAAATAAAATACAAATTTTTAATTTGATAACAGAAAAATTATTTTATCGCGTTAAGTTCTTGCACGCACTCCCAGTTTATTAAAAAAATTTTTTTTTCTCATTTTTTTTCTCTCTTCCTTGCCACTTTTATAGCTTCGCAAAAGCGTTATCGAAAAATAATAATTTATTTCGCTAATCTTTCTAATATAAGTTATTACAAAAGAAAATCATCTTCGTCTCTTCGATGTTCTTTCCTTATCAAAAAATAAACTACCCCGTTATTTAATTTAATATCGATTCTCGACAACCAAATGTATTTCATTCAGTTCATTTGTTCATTACTCGTATGAAAAAATCTCTTTTCGTTTAGAAATTTTTTTTCTTTCTAAATTCTTACGATAGTTTAATTTTTGAAGATATGTGTGTGTCTGTGTATGTGTGTACGTGTATGTGTAGTTACATATACTCGATGAAAAAATGATTAGAGAGACAAAGAGATAAAAAGAGTTTGAAAGAGAAAAAGTTTCTTTGTTTTTTTTTTTTTTTTTTTCATTAATTTTGATCTTTGATTCTTAAACACTAAATTTTAATTCATTAATAGTTCCGAATATAAATAGATGATATAAATGATCATTAAAGATTAGTATGTCTCTCTCAAGATTACACGTCATTATCATAATTTGATGTTAATTTTATTTTTATTTTTATTTTTATTCGTTTGGTTTGCATCACTCGTATTCGTCGTTATAATTAATTTCGGTCACGTGGTAAATAACATATTGAATCATTCACGAACTATTCAGTATAATAATGATCGAGTTAAATGATTCACATATAAGGAAAGTAAAAACAAAGAGAACTACGAAATTTTCGTCGAACGCGAAGCTCTTTAAATATTTGTTTTTTTTTTTTACTTTCCAATAAGATATTAATAATAATAATTAAAAAAAAAAAAAAAAAATAAAGAAAGCACTCGTACAGTCTTCCAGCCTGCAAAAATCGCAGTCGTTGTTGTATCAACGGTAATTTGTTATTTTTGTTGTTGTTCTACATAAATCTGTCGCAAAACAAGGGGGTTGAGGGAAAGGGTGGTGGCCACAGTTTTCTATTATTGCCAGCAATAATAAACGCTATTGCTTTGTACGATTATAAAAAAAAAAAAGTACAACAATTAATATTCTTGGCCATCGATGATAAAAAAAAAAAATAATGTCCCTAGAGAAAAATTCCTCTTACCAATAGATTAGGGTAAGTCAACAAAAAATATCACTTAACATCTCGACGTTTTTTTAGATTAACTTAAAAAACCGAAATTATCGTAATTTTGTCTTTCACTTGATTGGTTGCCGAGGTGCCGGTGGACCAACCGGAGGTAACGTCAATGATTCACGTTTTTTTTTATTAACTCGACGACCAACGTGAAGAACAACGTCTCCAGCCTTCACGGATTTGAACTCTGCAATTGCTTCGGCGTGTGTCATCCCGTGAAGGGGTTTCGAATTTATTGACAAAATTTCGTCCCCTGAAACAATATTACAATTAATGCTTTTTTTTATTGTTTTAAATTAAACGAATTTAATTAACATTTTTCAATATTTTTAGTGTTGCAACTTAACGCATTTAATTTTAATGATACTTTTGGCTAAAATTTTTGTGATAATTAATTTTGTTAATTTTTTTAAATATTAATTAGATGGTTGAGTCCATTAAAATTTAATACACTCTTTAATAAGTTAAATGAAATCCTACCTTCCTTGACAGTTCCAAGATCAGCAGCTTGACCATTAGGGAAAACAGTTTTAACATAAATTCCCATATTTCCACGTGGACTATCTGTCCCACCAACGATGCTAAAACCGAGTCCCTTATGACCAGGTCCTTTAAAGAATCTGGCTGTCAATATTGTAAAGGATGCACCACTTTTACCAGGCCTTGGTAAAGTACAAAATCTTGATTCTTCACCTTCACCAGCCTCGTCTATATCTTCCAATTCGGAATCTGTGTTCAGACCTTCATCCGTGTCCTGAGCGCCCTGTAACATCAAACAAATAATTAGAAAGGATTCAATCATTTTTAATGTGAACGTAAATTGTACGATAAAAATGAGTCAAGTTAGATTTCAATTTGAACTTCATTTCATTAAAGATTTAAATTTCATTTTTGACTTTCTCTCTCTCGTTTATAATTAGAAAATTGTCTACTCACTTGCCAAGTCTTTAAATTAGCACCAGACGAGCTAGGAATATTAGCCACACTTCGACTATTCAACCTCCTCGTAGGCTTTTTCCCGGGACTCCTCTCAGTCCCAAGACTGGAGGGTCCATCTTCTTTGCCAACGATAGAGGTGGCGCTTGAATCGGTCGAATAATTGCTCACTTGTCCTCCAACCTTAAAATCCGTGATTCTTTTTCTCGGCGTTACTCTTGGTATATGAATAGTTTCGAAAGACGAATCCGATTGATTCCTAATTTTACCATTTTTCTGAAAATGTACGTTTTCATAACAATGATGATCCCTAGTTTCGGAATTACTTCTTGCTAATGTTTGCCTATCGCAATAAGGACTTCCGGGTGAACCAACTTCCGATCTGTGTCCTCTGTGAAAACGCACGTTCTCGTAGGAATGATCCTGGTGTCTGATATTGTCACGACTTTCTGAATTACTTCGATAAAGTGAAACCTTTGACCTTGACGAGGAACTTGACGTTGAATTGTTAAATATCACGTTTTCGTAAACGTCTTTTTTATCATGATTATCATGAATTTGTTGATGATCGTAAGAACTAGGCGTGTTCTCCGAATAACCGAAACTTGAACAACCATCCGCCAAAGGACTCTTACAGTTAGGTGAATTCGGTACACTAGTCTCTGCTAAGGTTTCTAAAGTATCGTGAAAAGGGTATGGTGGTAAAGACGTTGGTTCGCTAGAATCGAAACGTTCAGACGAGTCGAAACTTTGACTAGTCGATGATGTCAATGGACTCGGAACATAAAAATTCGAAGCATTGTCTTTCTGCGAAAATACCTCCGTCACGCTCAGTGCTTTTCTTTTTCTAATTCCGGCATTTATTTTACTGAATTTACTTCGCAACACGTTTTGAATATCTGCTATGCCTTTTGTAGTGCCTAGAAAAAATATAAAATTCAAATATAAGTAAACATAAATGTTTGTGAATTTTTTTTAATTTAGAAAAATTGAACAAAACAAAATAATAATTTTTTTCTAAATGTTTCGCGATGCTATATTGAAAAAATAAAAATGATTTTGACGGAAAATAAATTGTTTCAACAACAGTCAAATTCATAATTTAGAAAGATTAGACAATGACAAATATTAACGGTAAAAGTAATTTATCTAATAGTAGGATTTAAACAAACAAATAAAATTATAAATAATAATTGAACCTGGCAGTCTGAGGGAACTAGTTTGAAGTAATTTTTTCGGCGAGCTACCATCCTGAAGACTTTTAGCAGCCGGTGAAGCTTCCCTGCTAGCCGGGGTTGATCTTACGGTATGGATGACACCTTGAGCACCACCACCAGGTATCAACGATTCCTGTGGTTCGGATGTTTCCTGTACGGAACATCGTCTTCTGAGTTTTCTCCAACGTTGACTTATACTCTTGTTCCACAAATTAAGATCTAAAATAAATAAAACAAAAATATATAATAATAAAAACGAGAAAGAAATCCAGTAAACATAAATGAGCTTATATCAATAGGACTATCGCAAGAATGCAAGACTGTCGTTCGTAATATCGAATCGAATGACTCACTCATCAGATAGAAATAAAACGAAAAAGAGAGTGGTGTACGAATGTCGAAAAAGTGAGTCCTCGTCAAAACCGGAAATACCCTTATCTTATTTGACAGACAAGAAAACAGAGTAACATCTCTTTATTTAGAAACGATAAGCTTTACGATTAGAAAAAAAAACACACATTCAAATACACGTTTATCGATCAGACCAGTATTATCGCAATATGAAAAGTAAAAATGATATATATATATATATATATTTATTTTTTTTTTATTATCAAGATGATACACAGGATCGTTCGACGAAATTATAAGTTGAAGAATTTCGTGTAACTATTGTAATAAATTTTTTGTTTGTTAAAAAACCCGTTATAATTTACCGCACACGTCGACGTACACGGCTAACCAAGCGTAATTACTCAACACACACACACACACGAAACGAAAAAAAAAAATAATAAAATTAATTTTATAGTAATTTTTTTTTCCCAACGCAAATAATGAAATAATTTAACGTGATAACGAATAAGACGTTTCTATTATAACTTCGATAGAAAGAAAAAGGAAAAAAAAGAAGAATCGAAAGAAAATCGTAAAACACACACACACACACACATACAATGATCCAATAGTAATTACAATTTAAAATAGTCTCCATATTCTCCCACGTTTATGAATATGATAATGATAGTAATAGAGGATTTTTGTAGAAAGGAGGGAGGGGTCGTGACCCTTCCTCTCCTCTTTCCTCTTCCTCTTCTTTTTCTTCCAGTTCTTCGTTACGGAAGACTGTCGGTGCTCTTAAGAAGTGTAGAACCATCAGGTACACAAACGAAAACACAACGATGCACAAATGAATAAAAATTTAAAAATGAATTATTCACTATGAAAAAATACAAACAAAACGAAAGAAAAAATTATCAAACTCAGGGTATACTATAATCATCATTATTGTCGTAATCGTTTGTATCATTCGTACGATGGCGGCACTAACACACACCACCACCACCACCACCACCACCAATATCACTTACAAAGTTTAATTAGAATCACCTAATTAACACTGGCTATTAGACGTTAGCTTCCTTTTTTTTCTTTTTTTTTTTTTTAAATTGTACGTGTTGCGTAGAATCCAAGTTATTTTATTGACATTTTGAATGACATGAAGTGAAAGATGAAAAAGAAGAAGAAGAAGATGAAGAGGAGGAGGAAAAAGAAGAAAGAGGTGATGATGATGGTGATGGTGATGGTGATGATGATGATGATGATGATGATGATGATGATGATGTAGAGACGAATAGGATACTAGCATAAGCGTTGAACGATGGGAGTCCACTGTCGAGTCCTCGCTGACGCCGGACACGAATCGCATCGTTATCCGGCGTTACGGTCATCTTGCAAAATGCACTTTCACTTCTCGTCCCCGACGTGTTGTTTGATATATCTCACAGTTTTGTCGAGGTCTTCTTCGTTGTTAGATCCAACAGCCGGACGTTGCTCATTCTCTCATTATTTTTCAATTTAAATTATTTCACATCATTGCTTATTTTTTTTTTTATATTATGATTTGTTTACTTTATGCTTTTTGGTTTTTTTTTATGCTTTTAATCTATCACTTACTTTAATTTACATTTTAATTGATTACTCGTGTTTATTTTGTTAATTGTATTGTTGTTTGTTCTTCTTTTTATATAATATTTTTATATTTTTAAATTTATTAATCCTATTAATTTTTATTTGGTATATATTGTACCGTTGTTTATCATCGTTCTTTGTTTAAATATTTTTTTAAATCGATTAGTTTATTTAATTGTATAGACACATTTCATTATACAAGTGTATACTTAATATCTGTTATACATATGCATTCTCCAAATTGCATCACTTTGTATAATGTTTGTTTACTTCTGTCAACGTTCTTTCAAACATGAGTAGGCATTTTTACGATTAGCGTAAGTCGAATTTTTAATTACCAATGAACAAAAATATCCAATCACTTTACAATAGTTATTTATTTTCACTGTAAATGTTATAATCCATTTTTCATTGGAATTATTGTATCAGTATAGATGATTATAGGAAATCATTCGTTGGTTTACTAAAATACGACACACTTGTTTATATACCAAATCTTGATAAGAGTAATCTCTTATCTTTGATCCTTCAGAACTGTACGATCAACGATAAGATGATTGATTTTAGCAAAAGCATCTTTGGAATGTACTTTTAGTAAGAAAGGAAAGAATCTTTCACTCAAACGTTTTAACATAAATGTTTTTTATATCTTCTTTTCAAATCTTAGGATTTTTCTTCTTCATTTTCAAACAAACCATTGAAGTGATCAACAAACACTGTCATCATCACTGTTACTGTGTGTGTGTGTGTGTGAGTTAACAATTATTTATTAACCAAGTAAAAATTTGGATAGTTTATAATCTTCACTATGTAACATCATTTGAATTTCTAGTCTTAACATTTCCGCATAAAAATAAAAGTATCCAACGATGTATGCGATCATTCTTGGCTACGAAGTGTATTGTACTCGATGAATGATTGGTTGCTTGGTTTCTTACTTGCTTGCTTGCTTGCTTGCTACTCACACGAATATGTGTGTAAGTGAGCGTGTGTAATACAGAAAAGAGGACGAATAAGGATTCTCACGATTGTATGGTACCGTAGAAACGTAAAACTTCTTTTATGGTTCACACGATCATCGATCGACCGATCGATAGATCGTTTTGTTCTTCCATCTATATATTATCAAGTATATAAAGTATACATATATACGTTATATTGTATATAGGAAGAGTCAAACGATAGGAACTTGTATCCAAGCACTTTAAAGTATTCCTTCTTCCTTTCTATGGTTTTGTTGTTCTTTTTGTTTTAATCAAAAAATATTTTTATATATTAAAATAAAAAAGAAAATAAAAAATATTTAGAGATAAATAAATATATAATGGAATATATAATACGATAGAAAAAAAATATATCGTTTATATATTATATTCAGGTAAAAAGTTTGAGTAGAAAATATTTGGAAAAGCACTTAAAAAAAAAAACCCGTGTTGTGTACGCCGTACGCGGTCTCGACGTGGACTGAAAGAGAACTCCGTCGTCGTCGTCCGTGGTTTGTAATGTTCTTCTCTTACCGTGTGCGTTCGACTGTTATAACACGTGTGTGCGTGGTCGTCTCTCTATGCGTACACATACACACATACACGATTCCAAACACTTCTTTGTATATACCTGTGCATACAGGGTGACTTAAAATAAAGTCTATTCGATCGTTTTTACACCTTTTTTTTTCGGTGATATAATTTTTTTATATATTATATTTTTCATGTAAGTTACGTAATTGGAATTTATAAAATATAAATCTTAATTGATTCTTAAACAAATTAAAAAGTCAAGTTTTTGGTATAATATTATAGTATATAAGTATTATTTTTATTAATTTTTTGGTATATTATTAAATATATTTTTATTTATGATCTACAATTAAAATATTATTTGGTTACCAAATTACTTTAACTATTTACTTTATCTGTTATAAAAATAACAAAATGTATAACATATTTTTTAAATATATTTTTATTATTGAAATAATTAAAAATAATATTATATTATAATATTATTTATATGCGTTTGAATTAAATTGCAAAGTAAAATATTTGAAAAATTTGTACTATATATATATATATATTAGAATTCTAATGAATTAATGGTTTTGATTTTTTTATAGACACCATATAGAAAGGTCTAAGGTACGTTCAGATTGTACGCTGATTGTGAGAACCTTTCTCCGAGTATTGGTAAACGCTCTCCATGGATATACCAAAGAAAGACCAAAGCCGAGTGTACACCTACTTAACGTGCATCACGGCTGCGTGCACACCCCATGCACAATTCTACTCGTAAGACTCACGGTCAGGGCGGGACGCATTATTTCCTGTAATAATGTGTTAGTGTCCTTTGTGCGAATTTTGCACGAAAGGTGGACACGAGCATTCTGTTTTTCTTTTTTTTTTTTTTTTTTTTAAAGACACACCCATTTACACCTTCTAATATTTATTTTCCTTTATCAACTATTACATTATTCTTAATATATTTTAATAAAATCTTTCTATCATTGATTATAATATTTTTATCTTTCATATTAAAGTTTTATGAAATTTTTATTTTATTTAAATTAATGAGAATTTTATATGAAAAATAAATTGAATTAGTAGGAATATAATTATGTTTGATATATTTATAAACCTCATTTGGAAAGATAAATATAATAAAATGGAATTATTAGTTCAAGATCGTTTAATACTAATGGTAAGAGTGAATGAAACTTTTTTTATATAAAAATAATTGTTAAGAAATTATTACATTAGATTAAAAAAATAACTTTAATTGAGATTAGAAAGAATAATTTTAATTTCTATTAAATTGAACAAGATTAGTTCAAGATAGTTTAATCCTAACAACACTTTAGAAAACAATCATTAAATTAAAGAAATAATTTCATTAAAATACTGACAGTTGTTTGATCAAATTTAATACTAATCACAGATATGACATTAATCATCATATTAAAAAAAATTAATTATTACAGATATTTCATCAACCATTTTTAAAAAAATATTAATTAAAAAAATTCATTAATATTTAATATTTAACTCAGCTTTTAACTGATATTTTATTAACCATTTATAAAAAAATATCAATTAAAAAAATCCACCCTTAACCCTTTAATATTTAATATTTAACTGAACTATATTTTTAAATTAACTACTTTTGATATTGATTGAAAATTAACAAATGTATAATAATTGCGCGAGATACAGTAGACACATTTATGTAACATTTTCCCATGTACCTCGTTGATGATC